ATCCGCCACCAGCAGGTCCCGGGCTCCCCCTCCCCACAGGTCCCCGCGGCGACCGCGACCCGACTGAGTCCGCAGGCCGGTCGCTTCTCTTGAGCCTCACCTTTCCCGTCTGTAAAATGGGTCAACAGAGATGGGCTCAGAGAGGGGAACTGCGTCGCCTGATGGCAAAACCTGAACCCCCACCTACACAGGAGCCTGCCCACCGTCTGCGGAGGACCCTCTCCTTTAGCTGTTGCCCAGGGCAGGAGGCAGCCTCACCCTCCCCTGGCACAGCCCCCTGGCTGGTTCCTCGGCCTCCATGTCATCATCTGTACGGTGGGCACAGGCGGGGGACTAATGACGCGCCTAGTGATGCAGGCCTGCAGGCCCGTGGTGCTCAGTGAATGGAGGCTGCAGGCATCACAGCCCAGAGGGGCCTCCAGTTTGCCAGGGCCGTGGGCACCCCTTCCCATCTCACACACTTTCTCACCGCAGCCGGGCCTGTCGGGCGTGGGCTGACCTGGTTGGCAGAGCCCTGAGCCTGTGGGATCACAGCGCCCACACTGTCCTGGGGGAAAGTGGGTGTCACCGCCTCCCCCGAGCTCAGGGCTCAGCGGGGGCCTCCTGGGCCCAGGTCCGACTTTCCGGGGCCCTGACTTTTTGTCCCCATCGCCCTTCCCCCTTTGACTGCACTGCCATGATGGCCAGTAAAATCCAGGCTAGACTCCACCCACTTTTCCTTCAGGTTTTAAAAGAAATGAAGGTATGTGCCCCAGGCACTGTGCCTCCGCTCCCAGTGAAGGCGGCCTGGCCAGCCTCCCGGAGCTGCCAGCCCCGCCCCCTCCTGTGCAGAGGTGCCCGTGGCTTGGCCCAGTGGCACACTTTCCTCCCCCGGAAGACCCGTGGGAGAAAGCGTGTGGTTTCCCTCCAGCCTCACCCCTGCTGCGTGCTGGCTGCAGGCCCACGGGGCACCCCGGGATGCAGAGACTGCTGTCCCTACTACTTGCTGCACACAGGCCAGAGTGAAGGCTGGGCACAAACCCCCGAGGCCCTGCCCTCATGGAGTTAACAGCCTTTCTCAGGTGGGAGCCTTCAGCTCCGAGGACTCGGAGGTCTGGGTACGGCTGCACCTGTCCATCCTTCTGCCTGCGTGCCTCCGTGACTTCCGCCCTGCTCCTCTCCAACCAGCCAGTCTGCCTGCACCTGGGCAGCAGCCACAGCCCTAGTTGCCCCTCGCTCCCGTCCACGCCCTTCCTCCATCAGAACCCTCCGAGGCTGCCACTGCCTCAGCAGCCAGCCCAAGCCTTGTGCCTGGCACTCAAGGCCCTGCCAAGCTGGGGTCGAGCTGGCTACCCACCCTCCCCGCCTCTCTGCCTTTGCACATGCTGTTCCCCTGCCTGAGCACCATTCCCCCACCCTCCCCCCGGTGTCTCCACGTGTCCAAGTCTGACAGCTCTCCAGTGTCACCCAGGAAGCTCTTCCAGAACCCCAACTCTGTGCACCCTCCACTCCAAGTGGGCTGTGACCTCTGAACTCCACAGCACTGAGCGTTTGTCATGTGCCAGCCTCGCGGGGCATATGTATTGAGCGCCTGGTTGATTGACACTTGGCTAAGAATTCAAAGGTGGAGACATTTGTTCCTCAGTGTCATGAAGACGGGGCCTCCCAGCCGCCACAGAGCTGATGAGAAGGCTGAGGCCATTCTGTGCTTCAAGCCTTCAGATGCAACCCATTTCGTTCTTCCCGGGAGATTTTAAGATTTTTGCCTCCAAAGTCCTGACATTTCACACTGATGTTCCTCTCCGTGCGTCTAATTCCATCCGTCATGCCAGCACACCGGCGCCCATTCACACAGGAAACTCATGCCCTTTATTTTCCAGAAAGAAATTAAAACACTGGGCCCTAACCGGTTTGGCTCAGCGGATAGAGCGTTGGCCTGTGGACTCAAGGGTCCCAGGTTCGATTCCGGTCAAGGGCATGTACCTTGGTTGCGGGCACATCCCCAGTGGGAGCGTGCAGGAGGCAGCTGATCGGTGTTTCTCTCTCATCGATGTTTCTGACTATCCCTCTCCCTTCCTCTCTGTAAAAAAATCAATAAAATATATTTAAAAAAAAATAAATAAAACACTGGTTTCCTTCCCTCCGTTTCTCACTTCTCTTTCTGGAACCCCAGTGACTCAATGCCCTGGACCTCCTGGCTGGCTTCCCACTTCCTTTTCTCTGCTACTTCTCCTGTTCGGTTCTTTTCTGCTTTACCTTCTGTGCGGTTCCCTCAACGTTCTCTTCCTGGCCTTCTCCTGCGTTCCTCAAGTTCGCCCTCCTGGTTTTCCTTTCCAGGGATTACTTTTTGTTTCTGAATGCTATTTTTTACTGTAACTTCCTGTTCCTTTTTCATGGATGCAGTGTCTTCTCTTACTTCAACGGCAGTTTTCTTTCGTCTCTGAATCCTATGCGGTTTTTGTTTTCTGTTCGTAATTTCCTCCGATGCCTGGGAATCTTCGAAGGCTGCTCATGGTTAGAAAAGAAAAAAGGAGAATAAATGAGTGGATGGTACTTGTTGGTTCAGCTTCACTTTAAGTTGAACTTGGTGGGCCATTTGGGAAAGTCTCTTCAGGATTTTCGTCTTGGACTGGTCAGATTCCCCAAGGTCCTCCAGGCCCTTGCTGGAGGGGAGGGGTCTGGCTCCAGGCTTCTGGGAGCTCCGTGGGGAGAACACTGGAGGCCGTCTCTGCATTCAGCATTCAGTGCCCACCTGTTTCGGCGGAGTACCCACGTCCGCCGCTGTCCCTGGAAGCCCAGCCCTTTCCAGAGCTCATCCCTGGGTATTTGCTAGAATGGGGGAGGGCACCACTCAGTGGCTGGAGAGAAGGAGGGCATCCAAAGATCTAACTGTTCCTCAAAGACACCTCCAAATGGTTCTCTTTACTTTAGCCTTTCACCTCAGATCTAGAAGCAGCTGGCGCTACCGGCTCCTAAACTTTGCTGTTGTGGGAATAGGGGTTGGTCCTCAGCTCCGCTGCCGGAGGGGTTGGCTGCTGGGGGCCGCTGAGTCAGGTCACACTGGTCTGCCCGCTTTCTGGCTTTAGACACGCTGCTGCGGGGGGCCCTTTCCTGTTCTCCCTGCCCCTGTGGGTTGATGTCTTTAAAAGATCCCTTTGCTGGGGATTTATGGGCTTCTGGAGGCTCCATTCCTGTCTCAGCCTGAAACTCTCCTCCACGTCTGTTATGATCACAGCCTTGTATTACATTCGCCATCATTCACTTTACTAATCTCCTCTGTTGGGCACACAGCTTATTCCCACGTTTTTCTTTGTCAAAAGCAAGGCTGTCACGATGTCCCAAGAGTTAGGGCTTTAATTCTCGGGACACACTCACTGAAGATTTGCTGACATCATTCTACCTCGATCTTCCTCATTATGAGGTGTGTAGTGAGTGTGCGTGTGTGTGTGTGTGTGTGTGTGTGAGTGTGTCCTGGCAGGGAATGAAAGAGAAGCAAAGGGCGAGGTGTATGTATGTGATTAGAGCAGTGGTTCTCAACCTTCCTAATGCCACGACCCTTTAATACAGTCCCTCATGTTGTGGTGGCCCCCAACAAATTGTTACAAATTGAACATAATTAAAGCATAGTGACTAATCACAAAAACAATATGTAATTATATATGTGTTTTCCGATGGTCTTAGGCGACCCCTGTGAAAAGGTCCTTGGAACCCCGAAGGGGTCGCGACCCACAGGTTGAGAACCGCTGGATTAGGGTGAGGTCAGGAGATAGACTCTCTTTGACCCAGCCTCACATCAGCACGCAGAAGCCAGGGGACCCCAATTTCCATTCCTCTTCTGCCACCCACTCTTAGAGCCTTTGCTCACCCATAAATGGAGGACAACAGTGCCTATTCAGCAGAGTGTAGCTGTGAGACATTAAATCAGCGAATGTCTGAAAAATATCCAGGGCTTTGTTCGGCGGAACAAACATTTATTGGGTGTCTGTTAGGGGCTATGCACCGTGTCTGGTTGGT